TTTTCTTGTTTCTTGTAAATAAGAAACATTAGTCCTTGTCTTCTTCAGAGCTCACTTTCTCTTTTCACTGTTGTTTCAATTCTCAATCATTAGCCCATCTTAATTCTGTTGTTTCAATTCTCAATCATTAGCCCATCTTAATTCTAAATCAATCTACTACTTTCTACCTGAATCTCATTGACTAAGATTTCAAAATTCTGACACCCTCTGCTCATTAAATCCTTTTGATAAGCAATCGTGTGAGAGAGAACTGATACTATGTCAGATGTACATGGCTTATTTTTTTCAAACAGAAAAAATAAGCTTTCTTAAATAAGCATTATCCTTAAAGATACTGTTATTGATTAAGGTCCTGTTACAAGTATTGTTCTTGGAAGTATATCACTTTAGCTCTTATTATATACCATTGTCTCATTTACTAAAACATTGTTTTACAGAGTATCATCCTCATTTTACAGGTAATGAAACTGAAGTTTAGAGATACCATATAACTTGCCTAGATTTCACAGGAAATAAATAGCAAAGTCACATCTGTCTGACAGTTGAAATTCATATACTCTATAATACGTTGCAGTTTCTGAGTGTTGATAACTAATAATGGTATATGTGTTGTAACTACAGTGATATGATAAATAACGTTTATTATTGACTTTTTAAAAAGTAGTATATACTCAATAATTCCTTTTAATCCTCCCAACAACCCTATAAAATAGATATTATACCCATTTTGCAGGTGAAAAAAATTAAAATTGGCCATTTTATTCAGTCCTAAAGTGGCAGCTGGGAATTGAATCTGGAGTTTTAATGTCCCATTAAATGTTAGGACATTATAACACAAGCTACTTGGAAAGTGTGATACTGTGTATATGTGTGTGCGTGTGTGTGTGTGTTCCATGTATTTGACAGCAAATAGGGAAGAGCAAAACTACCAGACAAATCCACAAGTTGATGGGAAAGATAAGACTCCATAAATGTAATTCAAGGTCAGAGGTGTTAAGTTCTAGACAATAATAGAGATTAAGTACTCTGAATTTAGATCTGGAAGAGATTTCTTCTTGCTGAGGGATAGTGAAAAAGATGGCATTTGTTTTGAAGATAGGAATAATGAAGGAAGGTCAGGGTTGGAAGGCATTCTAAGTATCGGAAATAATGAGAAAAGGCAGAGGTTCAGACAGGAATTAGTTACTGTATCTTTGTCAATGATATGTGGAAATAAATAGTTGACTATAAGTTTTGGGATAAAGGATCTGACTTCTTCCAAATTCATGACTTTGGATATATGTTATTTGATGTGTCTACCTGGATACTATTTTATCAGGCAACTTTGTTGTCAGTTTAGAAAATAAATTCCCTAACTCAGAAGTAAATGATACCACCATTGACCAAGTTATCCAAGTTAGAAACTTAGGAGAAAAAAAAAAATTGTGCTTTGTACGTCAAGTAAGAAGACTCAAAAGGTGGTATTCTTTATGATTACTTCATCTGAGAGCATGCACTGCTTCCATGTCCTTGTTCTTTTTTTCCCTATCAGCATTTGGTTCTCATGAGTGTGAGTGTGTGTGTGTTTGTGTGTGTGTGTGTTTGTCCTTTAAGTTTTTTGTTGTTATTTGTAGTACTGAGGCTAAAACCCAGATGAGCACTCTACCATTGAGCCACATCCCTAGCTATTTACAAGAATTTTTAAAATTGAGTTACTCTTCCTAAGCCATTTCTCCCTCTTCAAATACCCTCCATAAATACTTGTTGCCCACAGCTGAAATAAGCCCACTGTTACCTTTCCTACTGCTGTCTTTTGTTACATCTATCTAGCCTTTCTTCTCTGTGTGTTCTGAATTGACCAGGGTATGTCCTGAGACATGGTTTATCTTGAGACTTCCCTGCTGTTCCTTCAGCATAGCATGGCTTACTACCATGTTTACTCATTGGGACTCTACTCTTTCTAAGGCTTATTTTGAAGCTGTTGTTAAGCCTCTTCATTTTCTTCTCTACCTATTTTTGTGCTCATCTACCTGCTTTTCTGCATGTATCTGTCCAGTTACCCTCAGTTTGCTCTAACTTCCAAATCGTGTCAGTTTGTTGCTAACTGCAATTCAGTAGCTGTCAGAGTATGGTTTCTGAACCACCAGCAGCAGCATTATCTGAAAACATGATAAAATTCTTAGTTCTGAAGAATCACCTCACATCTGCTGAATCAGAAACTTGGGGTGAGGTGTAACTATCTGTGTTTTAACAAGTCCTTTAGGCAATTATAATGCATGTTGAAGTTTCAGAGCCACTGCTGTTGTCTATTCTAGTTTCAGTTCAGAAGAAAAATGTGAATTTTTTTCTGGAAATCCCTGGCATTGGCACTAGAGAACTGCTTGGGACCTGCTGTTGGACATTGTAGTTCGATTTTATGGACATTTAAAAAGTGCTTTTTCTAAGACTGTCTTATAATTGTCCTTTATAAGCATACTTATCCTTGGTTCCTTGACTTTAATTTGTTCTTAAAACCTGATCTCTAAAGTGAAAAGTTCCTAAGTTAGAAAGTATTTCCACTAATTCAAAATGTTATTGTTTTGATTGAGAAAAAAGGGGAATAAAAATATATATGCAGATATATATAACTCTACATTCATACATTAATATTTTATTATGTATTTATTCTTTATTTCTCAATTTAATTAGGAAGGTAGATGACTTCTTTCCTGAACAAAATTATATAGAACTAAAAGTGATCTGATTTCACCCTCGCAATATCCATTTATGAAATATTATGTAGACTATATATTTTGTCTTAAATGTGAAATAGAAGAAACATTTCCCCATCCTATATCATTCTATATAGTTCCAATAATAGGCATGCTATATTTCCCTCCACCCTCAAATAACATTCATTTTTTAAAACTGTTTTTATGGTAATATTAAAACATTAAAAGGAAGTCCCTTCAGGTGTGGCAGGGATAGGAGTTGGCACTGTTGCAAACATTTTTAATTTAGAGAACATATTTACATTTAAAACAAACCTGCACCAAGAAGTTGCACGTGGTCTGAGATGCCGATCAGTCCATAATGCTTGACCTTATATAGCCTCTTTTTAAAGAGTTTCAGTGTGATGGTAGGGTCACAGAAAATTTGTAAAATCTTATCTTTGTGGTGGTGTTGATTTTTTTATAAAATTCAATGGAGTATGGAAATGTCCAACAATAGAATAGTTATCTTTTCTTGCTCTATGTATAAAGCTAAGATTGAGAGACTCAGGCCTGCCACATGTAAAGAAAGCTGATAGTGAATTCTGAAGAAATTATTGGTGATTATTAAATATGACAATGGTATAGTTACTTAAAAAAATAACTAGAGTACACTCATGGGACTATCTAAAAAGAATTTTTTTTCTTGGATAGTGGTAGCTAGATTTGGATCTAGGACTACCAGATACATTTATATAATCTGTACTCAACACCAAGAACTAAAATCCTGTCTCCTTTGAGCTCAAGCCATGAGTACTGCCCAGAGAAAAAGGACTTTTTGCTACCTTCATCCAATGGGACCACTTTTATGCAGTTAGTTTATATAGTAGGATCATCTTTTTGCATACTATATTCTAGCTGCACTCTTTGGGTCCCAACTGTTGGATTAACTTTTATCAGTTTGGCAGCAGAAGTTCTTCTCTGAGGTTATCTAATGATAAGTATTATTAGATCTTAGCTAAAGAGGATGCTTAGGTTTCTGAAGTATGAAACTACTGCTATAGAACTGTAAATTCAGAAGAACTAAAACCTAACAGAAATGCACTTTCTTAACTATTTTATAAGAGTACATTCTGTGAACCAGTTGTGAACCAATCCTGAAGTGTTAATAAATAGTATTTACTTCTGGGAATGGAGTAGCTATAATTCAGATTGCCTTCTACTTAGTACTATATTTAGCCTGATATTTAAAATATATTAGGATTAAATGTGATGTCAGGAAAATGAACCCTTAGACATGTATTTTAATGTTTTTTCTTTCAAACATGTGTTTCTAACGCATTTATAAGACTATCTCTTTGTTGCTTTGTATGTCCCTCCCCCACAGTATAACCCCTGCTTTCACTATATTTGATGTCAGTATAACTTGTGGAGGAGAGGGGGAAAAAACAGTTGTTTAAGGATACAGGTGGACCTGATGCAACAAAGAGAAGTATAAGTTGTCATGTCCAAAACGAGCTTTACAACGTCGGTCGGGGGGGGGGGGAAGGGGGGGGGGGGAAGGGTTGGGTTTGGGGGGGGGGGGGGGGGGGCTGGGAAGGGATGTGAAGGGTAAACCAAAGGAGGAGGCTGCAATGCTTGGTAAGAAATGTACGCATTATCCTGCCCATGTAATGGTAACCCCTCTGTACAGTATGTTCACAAATAAAAAATAAATAAATTTTAAAAAATATATATTAGGATTAAGACTGTATAAAACATTTGAAATGAGTCAGCTTAAAAGACTGTGTGATTTTATATAGAATATAATGGACCTATAAGGTAAGAAACACATAGCCTAGCTCTTTCTTTCTTTTTTTTTTTTTTGTCGGTCATGGGGCTTGAACTCTGGGCCTGGGCACTGTCCCTCAGCTCTTCAGCTCAAGGTGAGCGCTCTACCACTTGAGCTACAGCGCCACTTCCAGTTTTCTGGTAGTTTATTGGAGGTAGGAGTCTAAGGTCTCTCCTGCCCAGGCTGGCTTTGAACTGTGATCCTCAGATCTCAGCCTCCTGAGTAGCTAGGATTACAGGCGTGAGCCACCAGCGCCCAGCTAGCCTAGCTCTTTCTATGCCACTATTTTACTCTGCCCCAATACTGTCTTTATCTGTAAAGTAAAAGAAGTCCACCAAATATAAGGTTTCTTTCATTCCCCCTATTTTGTGGTATAAAAGAATAAAACCCTTTTCAAGCCAGATCTTCATCTGGTATTTACATTGGGAGAGACACATTCTGTTTTAAATCGTTTAAGCCAAATAATGATTTTTTTTCACATACTTATTCTTGTTTTTCAGAAACTCTGCGAAGGCATATTTAAAGTCCTTGTAAAGGATGTCCCAACAACATGTCAAGTGTCCTGCCTGGAAGTACTCCGCATTCTCTCCAGAGACAAAAAGATTTTAGTTCCTGTAACAACTAAGGAAAATATGCAGATACTGCTGAGACTAGCCAAGCTAAATGAGTCGGATGATTCTTTGGAGAAGGTGTCAGAGTTCCCAGTTATTGTGGAGTCATTAAAATGTCTGTGTAACATAGTGTTTAACAGTCAGATGGCACAGCAGCTCAGCCTGGAACTTAATCTTGCTGCAAAGCTCTGTAACCTCCTGAGAAAATGCAAGGACCGAAAATTTATCAACGACATTAAGTGCTTTGACTTGCGCTTGCTCTTCCTCTTGTCCCTTTTGCATACTGACATCAGATCACAATTGCGCTATGAGCTTCAGGGACTACCGCTGCTAACTCAGATTTTGGAAAGTGCCTTTAGCATCAAGTGGACCGATGAGTATGAATCGGCCATAGACCATAATGGACCTCCTCTCTCACCTCAGGAGACAGACTGTGCCATTGAAGCTCTCAAAGCTCTCTTCAATGTGACAGTAGACAGCTGGAAGGTGCATAAAGAGGTAAGGTAGTTAACAAGGGTATTCTTATCTACCTGGAATTTAATTGTTCTATGGTTCTTATAGCTACCTGTAAAGGAAGAATACTAAGTTGAGAAATGAAAAAAGGTTCTCAGTTCCCCATTAATGTTGATACAACATGCCTTTTAAATGTTGTCTTGTTCTTTCCATTTGTATAATATCCATCAGAAGAATAAACATACCGAATACAGTTTTCTGAGTTATACTATATCTTACTTTTTGGTAGTACTTAGGGTTTGAACGCAATGCTTCCTACTTACTAGGCAGGCTTGAACCACATCTCTAGCCCTTTTTGGTCTAGTTTGTTTTTCTTCAAGATTTCTATTAGAACCAATTAGTTGTCCAAAAGTATTTTTGTTTTGATATTTCCTTATAGTTGTACAGTGTACCTTGAGCTGGTCTGGTTATTTTTGCAGTAAGGCATCAGGTTTTGCTCTGGCTGGCCTGGACTACAGTCTTCTCTTTATGCTTCCCATAATAGGTGGGTGACAGGTGTGTACCAACACATCCAGGTTTTTCTGTTGAGGGGAGGGGGGTCTTACAAACTAATTTGCCTGGGCTCCAGAATTATAGTCCTCCTGATCTCAGCCTCCTGGGTAGCTAGAATTACAGGTATAAGCCATTAGCACTCAGCTATATTTTGCTTTTTGAGACCAACGTCTTGCTGGCCTCGAATTTGCCATCCTCTTGCCTCAAGAGGTTACAGGTATGTGCCATCATGTCTGGCATCATTAGTCTTTTTTTAGATTGATCTTTTTCAAGAAGATTTAAATTGTAATATTTTAAGAGAAATAATGGGGTTGATAAATGGGGTTGATCATTTTAATGGCTATCACCATAGAAAGTTACCAGGTGCTTATGCCTGTAATCCCAGCTGTTCAGAGCTTGAGAGCTTAGGACCAAGGTTCCAAGCCAGCCTGGGGAGAAAAATCTATGAGAGGGGCTGGGAAGGTGGCTCAGTAGTAGAATGCTTGCCTTGCATTCATGAGGCCCTGGATTTGATTCCTCAGCATCACATAAGCAGAAGAAGCCGGAAGTGGTGCTGTGGCTCAAGTGGTAGAGTGCTAGCCCTGAGCTGAAGAGCTCAGGGAAAGCACCCAGGCCCAGAGTTCAGGCCTCACAATCGACAAAAAAAAAAGAGAGAGAGGGAAATCCATGAGGCTCTTTATCTTCAGTAAACCAGCAAAAAGCCAGTAGTGGAGCTGTGGCTTAAGTGGTAGAGCACAAGCTTTGAGAAAAAGAAAACAACTAAGGGATAGTGCCAAGGCCCTGAGTTCAAGCCCCCAGTGCTGGCACCAGAAAAAAAATTAAAATAATCCAATTAATTAAATTGATCAATCAGAATTGATATTGATATCTTTTGAAAAGAGTAGAAAAATGCTGTGAGTATTTTGATCATCCTAGTGTCCTTGTATGGTATTAGATAACTATCAGGAGTATAGGACTACAGCTAGATGTCCTTGCTTGTACATAGTCCTAGAAAAAAACCAAAATTACACCAGAGTGGTTACTTCAAAACACTTGACTTATTTCCAGATTTAAGTCTCTTGTGGTTTGAACCTTCTAGTAATTGAAAGTTAAGCAGATTTGATGGTTTAAGTTTGACTAGCCACCTGAATAATACACTAAACAAAACCTTAATTTGAGGAAGTGAACAGTTTTAAGTGAAACAGACATAAACTCTTTTCTTCTAGACTCCTAACGTTCTCTTTCTCCCTCTCCCTCTTCCTCTTCCTCTCCCTCTCCCTCTCCTTCTCCCTCTCCCTCTCCTTCTCCTTCTCCCTCTCCTTGTCCCTCTCCCTCTCCCTCTTCCTCTCCCTCTCCCCTTTTCTCCCTCCCTACCTTCTTCCCTTGCTTTCCTTTTCCCCTATACTGGAGTTTTGAACTCAAGGCCTCTGGTTCATTGCTCACAGCTGATAGACTAATACTTGAGCAATGGCTCTAGATTATGGCTAGTTAAGTAGAGATAAGAGTCTCAGATTTGTCTGTCCTGCTGACCTCAATCCATCTTCATAAGATCTCAGCCTCCTTAGTAACTAGGATTATAGGTATAAGCAGTTGGTGCCCAGCTACATTTTGTCTGTCTTTAAACCTAAGTAACTGGTGAAATTCAGCCCTTGTCTTAAAAAGAAAAGCAAAAGACAATCAATTTCAGGATTTAGGTTAACATTTTGCTGCATCCATATGAAATAGTTCTCACTCATGAGTAAAGACCTGTTTTTGTTAAAAAAAAAAAAAGCCTGCTGTTAAAAGATTATCTCAATGTAGTGCTGTATTGGTAATATGCAGGCATTTGAGTCTTAAAGTGCAAATAGGTCTGTATTTTGAAACCAAATATTTGAAGATCAGTCCTAACAGCTGTTTTAGATGACTGCAGTATGGTCAGTTTTTCCTGAGACTTGGCAGGAAAAGAATTGGAAAGCCCACATGCTCCATTTATGCTTTGAAACCAAATATTTGGAAGTATTTAAAATGTTATATCTGCTTATTTGGTACCTTCTATGGTTATTTTTCTTACACTGTTTGTTTTGGTGTTTTTAAGTTCTCCATTTAGTTGCAAGAGCTCCTCTGGGACTGTCGGTTTGCCATTGTTGGAGCCCTTTTTATTTAACTTATGTCCCAAATAGTAGCTCACACTGTTAAAGTTCCTGGCAAAAATGGTGGCTGCACATTAATATATGTGTGAGACGATATGTAATAAAACCTAGTAAATTAAGATTAGCCTTCATTAGTTTGCTGCAGTTACAAGTAATATTGGGGCTAGAGGAAGCTTCAGAAAATATTGAAGTAGCAAATATTCAGTGTTATAGAATGTTTATTCTCTAGAACACAAGGGTCTACTGATAAAGCTTCAGTAGTCTTAGAGTAGGATCTCACACCCGGTACTGTATCTGTTGTGAGTGATAGATCAGGTGGTAAAGCTATTCTGAAATGTTCATAGTTAATATGACCCTGGGTTATCACTGAAGTTTTCAGAAATATAAACAATATTGAAAACCACATCCTTGCCAATTCATTTAGAAATGAATTTCCTTGAGAGTCTCTAGATTCAGCTTTTAACAAACATTTAAATTATTCAGTCACTCAACAGATACTGTCAAACAATTGCTAGATATTATGCTGAGTATTAGGTAATATATCAGCAAATAATAGACATTGGCTTTGCCTCAATGAAACTTTTAGTTCTCTAGTGAAATAGGTAATAAGTCTGTACGTAAATAACATAAATTTTGTTAGGTGGTAGGATAGGAACAGTGAAGTGATTAAAAACATTATAGTCAAAGATTTCAGGAGGTTTTTCCTAGTATCTATACACAAGCATGATCCTCCCATTTGATAAATGCAGGGATTAAAATTTCCTGGAAATTGAACAGCATATGAAAAGATGCAGAAAGCAACAGAGTGCTTTTCATTGAGGTACTCCCAATTTAGCATAAAGAAATCTTTATTCAAGATATAAGGGGTTTTGCTATTTAGTTATTTACCTGGATTTCAGTATTTTTTTGGTTGAAAGATGTTTTTCTGCAGCAGAGCAAGTAATACTTTTTAATACTGTAAAACACCAACTGAAACAAAGGGTTATCAACATTTTATTTTACAGTGGAATCCAACTTTAAAAATAATGTTAACTAAGCACCAGTGGATCATGCCTTTCAAGAGGCTGAGATCTGGAAGCCAGCCTGAGCAGAAAATTCTGCAGATTTTATCTCCAGTTAACTAGCAAAAGAACTATAGCTGTGAGCAAGAAAGCTGAAAGAGCTCTTGCTGTGAGCAAGAAAGCTGGGCAAGTGCAAGTCCCTGCGTTCAAGCCCTGGGACCACCACAATAAAATTAAATGACTAATGTTATTTTCTTTCTTAAGAAAACAATTCATACTCATTTTAGAAGATCTAGGAAAAAGGCATATAAACAAAAAGAAAAACTACCTGGTGTTGGAGGTGTGGTTCAGGTGGTAGAGCATCAGCCAATGATCAGAAGTGTCAGATGCCAAGGTCAAGGACCAAAACCAAAACAAAACAAAACTACCAGTAAACTTACTACTCGGAAGATAAAGTTCTGTTTGCATTTTGATAGATAGATAGATAGATATTACAAAAATATAGAAAGATAGCTATTACCATTCTTTATGGTATAATGTATGAACAATACATAAATGCAATAATTTTATAGTTTTTGTTGTGGAAACATATCCTTGAAAAGGCTGGTGGTGTAACTATGGTAGCATGCTGGTTAGGAGTGGCCTCTGGGGATGAATGAGTAGTATCTCAAACTTCCTACTTCTACTTTATTTTTTCTTAGTATTTTTTATCTTTTGTTCATCTTAGGACTTGAACTCAGGGCTTGAGCAGTGTTCTTCAGCTCTTTTGCTCAAGGCTAGATCTCTACTACTTGGAACCACAGCACCACCTCCAGTTTTCTGGTGGTTAATTGGAGATAAGAGTCTGGGACTTTCCTGCCCAGGCTGGTTTCAAACTGTGATCCTCGGATCTCAGCCTCCTTGCTAGGATTACAGGCATGAGCCACCAGCACTCTGCCTCCTACCACTACTTTCAGAAGGACACTACTTAAAGAAAAAAGGAGCTCTTGATTTTTCTTGATATTCTCTTTGAATTTAGATTATAGCTAATACTTCATTAGGAAGATAAAATGGGTTTTGCAACTAAGGAGAACTTTTTAAAGCCAAGTACCTGTGTCTCACACCTGTAATCCTAGCTTCTCAGGAGACTTGAGATATGAGGATCTTGGTTCAAAGCCAGTCTGGACAGACAAATCTGAGAGACGCTTATCTCCATTTAACTAGCAAAATGCCAGAAAAGGAGCTATGGCTTAAGTGATAGAACACCAACCTTGAGCAGAAACAATTAAATAAAAATGCAATTCAAACCCTCATGCCAGCACACGCTAAAACCTTTTGTTAAGTGCTTTTGAACTCTGTTGGTTAATGATGATAAATCCCTATGAAAGACTCAAATATATGAAAG